TGCTGATCTGCTGGGGAGGTGGGCGAAAGGTTCCAGAAATACCAGAGCCTTCCTGCATCATTCAGCAGCTCTGATGTCACACCTAGTCATGCTGCTTCTGGACCCCAGCGAGGCAAAAGACTGGCAGCTTCTACCTCCCGGCATCAGTGATGAGGTGGGTGTCACATGCTGGTGAGGGGTTTCACGGGGGAGTCTGGAGTGAGGAGGGAAAGGTTCAAGGAGGGGTTGAACCCTGAGTCAGACAGAATGGCAAGAAAGGAGGCTTCTTCCTAGAGAAGACCTTTGGTACCAAAAAAGGGTTCATTTTAACCTTCTTTGAATTTGGTATGAGATGGGCTGCAAAGGAGAGGAAAAAAAAAAGAGAGAGAGAGAATTTTGGCAGAGAAGGGTCTCTTGACCTACACTGAACCAGGATCTAGTCATTGGCATCAGCTTCCTGGGAAGCCAGAGACCTCAGACCTTGGAAGTCATGACGGTAGCAAACGGCACACAGCCAGAGAAGGGGTTACAAGTCTGAATGAACATTACACTGATGGGAGTCATTTTGTTTCCCCAGAAATAACTTACTAGATTTTTCCAACCCAATATGTCCTATGAATTTAGGGACCATTGAAAACATTTCATGAAACTCCTTTGTGGGGTGTTCATGCGATCAACAGGAAAACATTATATATAGGCTTGTGACACAGCCTCATGGGGTTTGTGCTCCATCAATTAGGTTTTTGCCTCTCATCAGAAACCAAGTGAGAACATGCATTTCGAGCCCTCTGAGAGAAATTCCATGTAACATCAAATGTAGGTTCATTTGCCGTGAGAATCTAGCCGTGACTCTGGGAGGTGAAACGCAGCGCCCAGGCAGCCAAGACAGACCTGAAGTTTAATCAGAGGTGCCTTTTTTGTCCACTGTCATTGATGGGCTTGAAGCACCTACTGGCAGAACACTGCTCCCAGAAGGAATCATTTACAACGAAGCCTTAGCGTGAATGGCCTTTCAAAATACATGTACAGCATCTGTGAATACGACCTTACTTTAAAAAAGAACTTTTGCAGATGTAATTAAGATGAGATCATCCTGAGTTAGGACAGAAGAAAAGGTGAGGTGAAGGAGGTAGAGACGGGAATGATGTATCTACCAGCCAAGGAATGCCAAGGATAGGTGTGAGGCCCATCCAATGCTTTGATTTTGGACACCTCTCCAGAACTGTGAGAGGAAATGTATGTTGTTTTAAACCAGCTTAGTTATTGCGATTTGTTACTGGCAGCCTCAGAAAGCTAATGGAAAGCCGTTGATTTTTACTTACATGGCATCAGCTTTAGTCCATTGTATTGCTAGTAACAGAAATACTCTAGTCTGGGTAATTTATAAAGAATAGAGATTTAGGGCTAGTCCTGGAGCCTAGTAATTAAGGAAGCCAAGCTCCATATGCCCAACTGTTGTTCTAATCCTGACCCTCCTGGCCTGAAAAACTCCTTGGTGCACATGTGTGCATACTCCCAAAAAAGGATAGAGAAATAGAGGAGAACTCCCCTTAAAGGGTGCTTTCTCTCTCTCCCTCTCTCTCTCTCTCTCTCTCTCTCTGGACAGTGCATGTGCCCTCTGGCAAGTAAAAAAAAAAATACAGAGAAAAGAATAGAGATTTATTCAGTCCATAGTTTTGGAGGTCCAAGGTCAAGTGGCCATACCTGGTAGGATTTCTTGTTGGCAAGGGCTCTCTGAGGAGTTTTGGGGACAGCGCAGAGTATAAGGAGGAGACAGAGCAAGAGTACACACACATTCGTGTCTGTGTGTTCTCCTTTTAAAGCTACCAGGAGTCGATCATGGGGGCCTCATCCTAATGACCTCATCCAACCCAAACATCTCCCAAAGGCCCTGCCTTTCAATGCCATAATTAGTTAAGTTGCCACCTCCTCAACACCATTTCAATGGCTCACCAAATGTCAACACACAGAGTTATAGGGAACACATTTAAACCATCACAACTTCCCACAGAAGATGTTAATTCAGAAGGAGTTCTTTAGTTTTTAAAGACCTCACCTTCCCATCAATTTGTCAAGTACCAGCACTGGAGTCTGAGCATACTCGAACCAGGATGGGGAGGAACAGAGACGGGCTGCCCTGGAGCCAAAGTTCTACAGCTGACTCCCAAACTGTGTGCCTGGAGGAGTCACCTCACCTCTTCCTCATGGGTCAGGCAGGAATATTGTGAAAAGTAAATTAAATAAATCACGAGAATGCTCCATGTCAAATGAAAGGTGGCCTGGAACCCTCACCATCTCTCACTCTTAGAAGCCCTGCAAGGAGGAGCATCTCTGTTGAGTTTGTTGATCTAATGATGTTTCATCAGTACAGTTAATATGAGCTCTGCAGTCAGCCTGCCTGGGCTCCAGGTCTTACAACTTTATGACCTTGTGCAAGTTCCTTCCCTGAGTCTCAGCTCTTTATTCACAAAGTAAAATAAGAGCAAGACCAACCGGTGGTGGGTGGCTGGATCCCACATAGCCTACTGTGTAGTTTAAGTCCCAGACTCAGCAGCTGTGTATGTGCACATGTCCAAAATCCTGGGCCCATGAGTGTAACTGCCCAAAATCCTGAAAGAAGGGAGAAATGGAGGAAAAAGGATTGCAGCATGACCATTTCCCACGGATGGAACTCTCTCATTTTCTCTCCCTTTCTCTCTTTCTGCGACGAGAGTATCATGGCCTCTGGCATAACTTTAAGAAAAGAATAAAAATATTTATCTAATAGCACTGATCACAGATTGGTTGTGATGACTGAGGAATGTCATACATGGAGGTAGTAGATTAGCATCATGTTTGGCCTACAGTAAGCTTTCAAAAGAGTGGCTGTCTTTATCAGCATCATTACTTAGCACTGATCCTGAGGGGTCCACGTGAAAAGTGACAGTGCCATGAAGCTGTCAGGTTCAACTTCAGGTCTCCCATGAACTTCGTTTAACTTGCTACTGTCAAAGCTGAAACACAATGAACAAATCATAAGGACTCCAACATCTTCACTGTTTCACCAATAAAGAATTTTTTTAGAGTTAATATTTTTGTTGTGAAAAACCACTTAGCTAGGGAACCAGCAGTTAGCGTAATGGCTATGTCGCTGGACTCCCACGTAGTTGACCGCAGTTCGCGTCCCAGACCCGGTAGCTTAGAACTCACGCTGGGCGCATGTGCGTGCGTGCCCAAGATCCCGAGAGGAGAATGGAGGAGAAGGGATTGCGGCGTGGCCATCCCCCCTGGGGGGTGATTTTTCGCTTTCTGTCTCTCTGTCTCTCTCTGTCTGTCTGACAAGCGTACGCACCCTATAGCAAAAACCTCTCCAGAAAAAGAAAAAAAAAAGAAAAAATTAAATTCAAGAACAAATACATTTTTTACTTGAAACGCCATGTGTTAAGTAATCTCCTTTTTCTAAAGTTTGTCTACCTGTTTTTGCATTTTCACAAGTGTTGACAATGATATGCTGTGCCATTTCCTTTTTTTTCCTTTGTACTTTTCTACTTTCTTGAGCATGTATTTAAAAAGCATGTGTTATTTTCACAAAAATCATAACGTTATTTTAAACACTTATCTATTGTAGGCCAACCCTACAGCCTAGCGGTTAAGGGAGTCAGATTTCACATGGCTGACCACAGCTCAAATCCTGGCCCTACACCTTAAAAAACATGCCAGGCATGAGTGCGTGTGTTGTTAAAATCCCAACAGGATGGAGAAATGGAGGAGAAGAGATTGCAGTGTGATCATGTCTTGCTGGGGAGTACTTCCATCTCGTAGGCTCCCCTCACCCCTGCAGTCTTTCTGGTGACCACATGTATGCTCTGGCAATTAAAATAAAAACAAACTTGGGGGCTGGCAGGTAGCATAGTGTTTAAGGCACTGGATTCCCACACAGCCAACCGCCGTTTGAGTTCTGGACCTAGTGGCTTGTTTCTCACTTTCTCTCTCTCTGTGTGTTTCTCTCTGGTCAAATTAAAAATAATAAAAATAAACAAATTTTAAAACCTTATCTGTTGGGAACCAGCAGTTAGTGTAATGGCTATGTTGCTGGACTCCCACGTAGTCGACCACGGTTCACGTCCTGGACCCGGTGGCTTAAAACTCACGCCGGGCGCGTGTGCATGCGTGCGTGCCCAAGATCCCGAGAGGAGAATGGAGGAGAAGGGATTGCGGTATGACCATCCCCCCTGGGGGGTGATTTCTCGCTTTCTGTCTCTATGTCTCTTTCTGTCTGTCTGGCGAGCGCATGTGCCCTATAGTGAAAACCTCTTAAAAAAACTAAAAAACAAAACAAAAAAAAACCTTATCTGTTGATCCGTAGCATAGGTAAATTCATAGAGACAGAAAGTCACCAGGGCACAAGGGAGAGGGGAATGGGAGTTGTTTAATGGATGGGGAGGTGGTTATTTAGGATAATGACAGCATTTTGCAAATGAATAGCAAGGATGGTTATAAAAACAGTGGATGTACTTAATGACATCTTATCGAACACTTGAAAATTGCTAAAATGGTAAATACTAGATTAAATATATCTTATCACAATGAAACACAACACCAACAGAAAGCATACCTGCTGTGTTCCCCATTCCTGGGGCACTGTGACAGAAGAAGGATGACCAGGTGGCCGCTATGGTGGATGAACCAGGCCAATGGACTTGCTACTCCAGCTCAGTATTTGCATACATGCAGCCTTAATGATTTAACTCCAAGAAGAGATAACTGTGGAGATGGGGATTTCAGGATCTCAGGGCCCAAGGAAGAAAAACCTGCTAAAAAAAAAATCTTTAAATAGAAATAAGATATGGAATTAAAGGGAATTTTCCCAGTGTCTGAAAGTCCAGCAGGTAGGTGGGGACTTTCTTTTTTCTTTTTTTTCAAAACTGGCCAAGAAGTTCTGAACATTGGGATTGTTCTTGGATTCCTTTGGCTCTGTATCCTCCCATTCAGCTAAGTGTCCCATGTTTGGCCTAGTGATCCAATAATCAATTCCAATTTTACATATGTTAGGCCTGGAAACTGTCCTTTTCCAAGGAGGTGTAATCTTGCACTATTCTCTCTCTCTCTCTCTCTTTCTCTGTCTCTCTCTCTCTCTCTCTAAGGAAGACAGATGGAAAAGAAAACTGTGGGCTGAGACAGGAACTCAGGCCCCACCTCCGGCCTGTCCATTCCAAGCCCCTCAGAATCTTTGTTGTATGTGCTGCCATGGCGACTGCTAGGGACAACACCTGGTTGAGTGGGAGACTGCCAAAGCCCACTGTAGCATCAGCAAGGGACGAAGAGGGTATTTCCGGGACAGGCAGTAAGCAATTAAGTGACAAAGGGCCAGATCTGAGTCCGCCAGCTCGAATGGTCTGGAAGTGTTTGACCCATAGTTTAAATCACAGAGGCTGTGAACGTAATTTAAAAAAAAAAAAATCAATATAATTGGTTTTGTGCTCACTGAATATTTGAAGGACTCTTTCTAAGTTACCTTCTGATTCTTTATTCTGGGGCATGATGACCAATACGAACATTGGCCTCCGTCCCTGGCCCTTCATGGGTTTATAATTACAGCGGGTCCACAGAGAGCTCCCAAACACCCTGGCCCAGGCCAAGACCAGCTGTTTGCACACAGACCTGGAGGAGAGCAGCGCCTGCAGACGGTGAAACATGTTCTCATATTAGCGTCTTTCTCACGAGCACTGCGCGTACACTGTTAGCACAGTCAGAGGAGTCAAAGTGGCTTCCCTGTGTGTGTTTCTCCTCTCCACTCCCCTTAAAAAAATGGAGTCTTAAATTTCACGTTCTGTGATCTAACTTCCCATTTCCCACTCACAAACAAATGACATCTGGCCACTCTCAACAATAAACTTGGAAAGATGAGACATTTCCTGTTAGTTCTCCGTGTAACCCCTGCTTAAACTTTCAAATTCCTGAAAGAATTGCCTGAAAAATAAATGGATCATTAAAAAGTGAGGAAAAGAAAGAGAAAGGACAGAGGAACCTGCTGCTAGAGTCCTTTAACAGGGCTGATAAGTTTTTACCAGTATATATTTACTTCCGGCATAAAAAAAAAAAAATGTTACAGCCCTGAGAAATCACAACAGATCCATTATTCTGCATAATCACATTGTGGAAAGCACAATTGGAAAAACCTCCCACAAGGCTTCTGGATCCAGCATCATTCTTTCTAATTGCCCCATTCCTTTAAGTGGTGGTAGAAAATGTTATTTAAATAAGTCCTCATCTCTTTTTAGTGCCTGCTTATCTTTCCCCTCCTTAATTCCTAAGACATTGCATACAGCCTCACAACCTCAACCATTACACCACATCATTATCTTGCAAATCTACATTTTCAAGCCTGACTCTTCTTCCTCTTCATCAACAGCTAGCTGGACATTCCCTGTGGACGTCTTGCCCTTATCTCCCATTCAACTGACTAAGGCTGGCTACTTCCCACCAGCCTCCCAAAGCCAGCTTCCTTCTCCACATTTCCTCTTTCTCCCAATGAGATCAGCTTTCTCCAAGACTCAGCCTCAGGCTGAGGCACCCCCAACAACACAACAGGGTCTTCACACCGCAGTTTATCCCCAGCTTCAAGCAACCTGGATCACAGGCTCACGTGTGTCCCCCCGCAGGTACAGGATATGAATCAAGGACCTTTCCAGTTGTATTATTGCTATATCCTTTCCATACATTGTGCTGGTTTTTTTTTAAGTTTCTTTCTCCCATGAGTGTGAAAGACAGACAGAGAGATAGCACCCCCAATAGGGTCTTGACAATACAGTCCACCCACCTTTAGTCAATTCCAGATCATGGGCACATGCATGCCTAGGGTACCTAGGGAGGTCTTCAGATGTGGACCTTCCCATATGGGTTGGCCTCACAGAACATTGTGTTTTACCACTGTGCCACCATTCCTCAATGCATTTCTCCCCTCCGCCCCCCGCCCCCCCAGGAGAAATCACAGGTTTTATTGAAGATGGCAACATCTGAGGCTCCACACTTAGGTACATGGGAGAGAAGGACTCAGCCCAGGCCTTATGCTTCTCTTCAGGACCCTTAGGGGCAAACTTCTCCTGCAGTTTCTTTCACATGCCTTGATTCTTTTCCTTAAACTCTTCCAAAATGTCTGTGGACAGGATCAGCTCGTATTCCTCCACAGGCAGGCCACTGAAGCTGGTGTCTCTGGAGCATGGGTAATTGTGTTCGTAGTAGTTTGAATGGAGTCGTGCTAAGCTCTGGAACATCTGCTCACAGGGCTCAAGCTCTGCAATCTCTGTTTTCTTCCTTTCGAAAGGCCTGTGCTACTTGCTGCTATAGGTAAGTGCCCAAGTCCTGTCCCCATTTGGTCTCATCCATGGGCCATTTCTCATAGACCATAAGAATTGGCCAGTAGTGGCTGGCTGCCATTTTGACCTCTTGTTTTTCAATCTATTCTTAACGCTCACATATGTGGGCTTCATAGGTATAGAACCTGGGCAGTTACTTGGAACGCTATGCTCTGCAAGTGCCTTGAATTTGGTTCAGTCTCCCATGTGCCTTCATTTTTTTTTTTTTTGGTAGAGGTTTTCACTATAGGGCGTGTGCGCTCGCCAGACAGAGACATAGAGACAGAAAGTGAGAAATCACCCCCCAGGGAGGATGGTCATGCCACAATCCCTTCTCCTCCATTCTCTCGGGATCTTGGGCACGCACACACACGCGCCCGGCGTGAGTTTTAAGTCACCGGGTCCAGGACGCAAACCGCGGTCGACTACGTAGGAGTCCAGCGACATAGCCATTATGCTAACTGCTGGTTCCCTCCCATGTGCCATCTTAAAACTCTTAAATTTTGAACAAGGGGCCTCACATTTTCATTCTTCATTAGACCCTGCAAATTAGGTAACCCTTCCTGCTTGCATGATAAGCCAGATTCCTTAGCTTGGCATTAAGAACTAGGCCAGTCCCTGGGAACCAGCAGTTAGCGTAATGGCTATGTCACTGGACTCCCATGTAGTCGACCGTGGTTCGCGTCCCGGACCCGGTGGCTTAAAACTCACGCTGGGCGTGTGTGCGTACGTGCCCAAGATCCCAAGCGGAGAATGGAGGAGAAGGGATTGCGTCGTGACCATCCCCCCCTGGGGGGTGATTTCTCGCTTTCTGTCTCTATGTCTCTCTCTGTCTGGCGAGTGCACGCGCCCTATAACGAAAAACCTCTCAAAAAAAAAAAAAAAAAAAGAACTAGGCCAGTCCCATAGTCTCGTGGTTAAGGGAGTCAGATCCCATATGATTAACCGCAGTCCAAATCCTGGCCCCAGTTGTTTGAAAAACACACTGGATGCATGTGTGTGTGCCCAGATCCCAATGGGATGGAAAAATGGAGGAGAAGGAATTGTGGTGTGAACATGCCACATTGAGAAGTAACTTTTTCCCCTCTCTGTCTGTTTGCCAAGTGCATGCACTCTCTGGCAATTAAAATAAAAGAACAGAACTGCCATAATTTGCTGGCCCCCTTCTCTTATCTAATGCGTGCCTCTTAACATGAACTCTCCAACTCCAGTCATTCATATTGACCACTTATATTGGAACTGAAATATGCACTCCTGTTTCCAGGGTTTTGTTCATCCAGCTCCACTCTTGAACATGCCTTCCCTTTTCTCTCTCTCCTTGCAATTCCATTCATTTGTCAGTATCCTCCTTCCCCATAGTCTCTCCCCACATTCTATTTCTCTGGCAATGACCGTCACCATCGTCAGGCTTTTATATGCTATTCTTCTGTTACTTTCTCCTTTTAGTCCCTGAGCCTTGTCCTCCCAGTTAGTAAATATTTGGGCTTGAGGAACATGCCTATCTCTCAGTGCCGCCAATACAATACCTTTCTCTAGTAGGGGTGTTAGGATGTCTCTTGCTACAAATAAGTTACAAAACATGGGTTAAAATGTACCCTGGCGAAGAGTAGAAAACTGGTAATAGTCGTGGAGTATCTCCCCACATTCACTGAACAGATACTTACTGAATGCGTGTTTTGTGCCAGCACCGTTCCACTCTAAGCGATAGGGAGACAACTGGTAGTGTGGTTGCTGCTATCAGATGTGTAGCCAAATTCCCTAAGTTCACAGTTCCAGCCTCGCTGCTCAAGAACAGAGTGCTGTTGTACAAGTTACTTACATTTTCTGTGCCATAGTTCCATCCGAAAAATGAGTGTAATGACATTGAAAGTATAGGCAACAAAAGGAAAAATGTCTACACATTGAACTTCATCAAAGTTAAAGCTTGTACACCAAAGGATACTGTCAACAGAGTAACAAGACAACCCACAGAAGTGGAGAAAATATGGCTGATAAGGGGTTAGCATCCAGAATATATAACAAACTCCTGTAACTGAACAACAAAATACTCTAGACAATCCAATTCAGAAATGAGAAAGAATTTGAATAGACATTTCTTCCAGGAAGACACACAAATAACCAACCAGCACATGAAAAGATGCTCCACATCACTAGTCATTAGGAAAATAAAATTGAATATTGCAATGTAACACACTTCATACCTAATAATGTTTACTATTAAAAAATGGAAAATAAGTATTAGCAAAGATGTGGAGAAAGTGGGACCCTTGTGTGTTGCTGGTAGGAATGTAAAATGGCATCCCCACTGTGAAAATCACTATGGCAATTCCTCAAACAGTTAAACGTAAAATTATTACATGATCAGCCATCCCACTTCTAGATATGTACCCCAAAGAACTGAAAGCAAGGACCGAAGATATTTGAAAACCTATGCTCATAGTCTAATTCACTAAAGCCAAAAGGTAGAAGCAATCCAAATGTCCATCAAAGGATAAATGGATAAACAAAATGTGGTGTATATACACAGTAGAATATTACTAAGCCTTCAAGAAGGAATTAAATTCTGATATATGCCATAATATGAATGAAACCTAATGCTAAGTGAAATAAACTAGTCACAAAATAACAAATACTGTTGATGATTCCACCTACATGAGGTACCTAGAAAATTCATAAGAGGAAGTAAAATGGGGCTTGTCAGAGGATTTGGGGCAAGGAATGGGGAGCTAGTGCTGAATGGGTACAAAGTTTCTGTTTGGGCAGATGGAAAAGTTCTAGAAATGGAGAGCGGTAGCCGTTACACAGCAATGTAAATGTACTTCATGGCATTGGACCGTATACCTAAAAATGGTTAAA